TCATTCTCACTTTCACTCTGACTTTCACTGAGTGAAAGTGAGAGTGAGAGAGTGAGTGAGAGTGAGAGTGAGAGTGAGCATCTGAGAGCACAAAATGCTGTGCCTGCCACGGAATCTGCACTTTGAGGTTCACCAAGTGCTGTGTCTGCCACGAAATCTGCACTGCGAGGTCCACAAAGTACTGCGCCTGCCACGATTTCTGAAAACCTACCACATGTAGAAAGTCACGATTCACTGCACCTGTCACGATTCACTAGGGCGGGATGGTAACCATGGTAACCTCTATCGACTCCCCAAGCTTGTTTGCCACTTCCAGAATACTAGTAGCGTCCTTGCTCCTCCTAGTGCCACTTGCAGAATGAGGAGGTTTGCCCCACCACGCTGGCCGACGAAGCTAGTGATGTCATGGGAAGTGGTCAGAGACGTCTGATTGTACCTGCTCATGGTACCATTGATTTCCTCATGGCCCCTGGTGTAACTACAGCCATTGCATTGTTTTGTTTGCACTAGTAACAAGAAGCTAGTAGGAGCAAAGGGCATCGCTACTAGGAGCAAGGATGCTACTAGGGGCTCCTGGCCTTACTACTAGTAACAAGAAGCAACTAGGAACAAAAGGCAACGCTTGGTTTGAATCGACAAAGACTTTGGAACCTCTGAGTTGACCTACACTGGAAGGCTTCGATGGTGGGACCCCTCTGCACTAGTGAAGCGTTTGAACATCGAGGTTTCTAGCCCGGGCTCGGAGCGATCAAATCGTACGCACTTTTATCTTGAGTGTGCATGGGTATATTCTTGCTTGTTTTTCTGTATGCTGATGCAGGTTTTTCCTCGTGCACGGTATTCTGGGATGGTGCGATTTTTGCATGGTGTTCTCAGGCAAGGGTTCGATTCCCGCGAGCCCGTTGACCACTCGAAAGATGGGATTCCGTCTAGATCAGGTATGATGAACCGAAGAGTTCACCAGGATCGTCCTTCACCTCCAACGTTATGGGTTCGGGACTCGATTCGCGACTGTTCATGTTAGGCACTCCATGGAAGTGGAGTTCACCACTATTTTGGTATGAGGAGTTCATGGTCATCCGAACCAACTGGGACCAAGCCACCAAGGATGATTTCGAGCTATTAGGAACAAGAAGCTACAAGGAGCAAAGGGCATCGCTACTAGGAGCAAGGATGCTACTAGGGGCTCCTGGCCATACTACTAGGAACAAGAAGCTATTAGTCTAGTGTAGGTCTTCCAAATCCTGTACCCGCTTTTCTCTCGTCCCTTCGCTAGGCCCAGTGACAGACTCTGCCTCGATGACCAATGGTACCGGCCTGGGACGTACGACCACCATCGTGTGTGAAACTCCGTGGAGGTCTTAAGGATGTGGAGGATTCGGAGGTTTCAAAGGATTTTGCGAATGCCAGAAACACAGACTGACTGGAGTTTCCACACCTGAGTGGGCTTTGTAGGTGATAGGCTCAGATATGGTCTTCCATATATCAACCGGGATCACTTGCTTGCACACTCACAAGGGAGAACGTTGGGAGACAACATCGGCATCGTGTGTTGTGTTGTACCAGCACGTGCCCCTCTCCCCCCCCCACGCATCGGAAGCGACGTTGCCATGTCTGTTGCCATCGCTTCTAGGTGGCACTTGTTCTTAGTAGCAAGCATTGTTAGTACTAGTAAGGCACCTGTTACTACTAGCGTGGCACTTGTTACTAGTAGCTCTCTTTGTTCTTCTTTTCTTTTGGTCTCTCTTTCTTTAGACCTACATGGCCCTTTTAGGCCTCTCTTCCTTGGGGTCTCCGGTGATTCCGCACCGGTCCGGTGCACCCGGTCCGGTGATTCCCGGTCCACCCGGCATGGGCTTCATGGGAGGCGTCTGCAAGAGCATCCTGGGCGGACGCACGCACTGCCGACCAACACGCGGGCTGGGACGAGCAGTTTCTGTTGCCGGTGGGTTTGGGGTGGAACGATGGGCAAACACGTGGGTGGCCCACCAGCCCTGTAGACCATGTAGACCCGGTCACCGTGGTTTTGGGCTCCCAACGACGGATGTCTCTGAGCAAACAAACGACTGGGAGCATTTTTGATCAGATTGACATCAGCGAAAACTCAAAAAAACGCAGAGTTAGGTTCAAATCGATTTCTCTCGCGAAGGTTCTATGTTTGTTTTCAGTTTGACAATCTTATTGCTAATAACAAGTGCATCGCTACTAGTAACAAGTGCATTACTACCAGCAGGAAGAAGCTACTAGTAACAAAGGCTTTTAGGTTGGAGGCCATCGCTAGTAGGTTGGAGGCCAAAGCTACTAGTAGCCAGATGCTAGTAGCTTCTTGCTACTAGTAGTAATGCACTTGTTACTCGTAGCGATGCACTTCGGGTGTAGCCCGGACACCGAGACTTGCGTCAACAGAGACTTTCCAGAGCAAAGTGCTGCTCTACCGCGAAACGAGAAGTAGTTAGAACCATCTGTCATGTGGAGATGTTCTCATACTAGGAGCAAGAAGCTACTAGTAACAAGTGCCACGCTAGTAGTAACAAGTGCCACGCTAGTAGTAACAAGTGCCTTACTAGTAGTAACAGGTGCCTTACTAGTAGTAACAATGTTCGCTATTAAGAATTCCAGAAGTCCAGATCTTTTCTTCGCCTCTCCGCACCGCGGCCGTCCTCGCATCCTCCGAGATGTGCACCGCTGCCGAGGTGGGCGCCGCCAACGCCTCGCGAGGCCAATCGCCGTCCCAACGGCTCTGAACGGTCCAACTGAAGGAGGTTCCGATCCCTTGAGAAGCACAGGAATTAAACACTGTTTCTTTCCTTTCCTTTCCTTTTCAACTCAGAGGCTTTTCCACAAACAGTTGGGATCAGCTTGGCCTCCCAAATTCGGCGGGATTGGAGCGCTGGACCTACACCCCACGCATGCCCTGCGTGTGATCCTGCGCGTGATGCGGCGCATGACCTCTTGACCCGTTCCGTTTGGCAACTCGCGCCTGAACTGCAACAGAAGCCCTTTGGCTGTGGATCCACCCCCCCCAACAACTTGTAGAACATATAGGAAGGAAACCCTTTGAAGTTCAGCTGGAAGGATGTTTGCCATGGTTCCAGATGGTTTGACTTTTTGTCACACAGACATATCTCTCAGTATCCATCGTGAGCTGACCAAATTCTTGGCAGAAGCAGTCCAACCAGCTACCCAAAGACATCATGAGGGGATATGAGGAGTTCCCAAACCAAAGTGGTCAACTTCGGGGTATCAACATGTAAAACCATGTTAAACCTAGATCGCCTAGATCGCCCAGATCCCAACAAAAAGCTGAGCACGTTTGCTGAAACCATGGATCTTCAGAAGCCACGTCCACGCGCACGTCGCCTGGCGACTCGCCAATAAACCCTCACCCTTGGACCAGTCAAAGGTACTGAGCCTTGGCCAATCGGATCGTGACACGCGAGGTGTCGCTGTGGGAAATACATGGCGGACCTGAACGATGCTCTTTTCGGGCTATATAGACGATATAGAGAAGAGATGGGCACAAGCGGAAGAACTGGGGTATCAAGTGGTCCATGAGATTTGGCATGCCATTCGCAGAATTTGGCAGGTCACAACTGCATCCTAGTGAAGCTGTGGTGCAATCTGAGATACTTGCTCCAAGATGCCAAACAAGAAACGTCTTGCTGAAACAAAAGGCACACGCCGATCTGTTCCACCCAAAACGCTTCGTCCCAGCTTCAGTTGCATTTTCTCGACATCCCCCGAGTCCTTCTTCCTCAAACACCAAAGCAAAAGCACCCGAAAGTCGCCTCAAACCTGTCCGCAATCGACCATCCCTTCGGCTTCACCCCGGTGCCAACGCCTTTGATCACCTGTCTGAGTTGGACTTGGACCACTCCAAACCGAGTGGAACCGACCAGTAGAACCCGATGCCCTTGGCCCCGTTCGTAGCGTCCGCTCGCTCCGTTCGCAGTGGAACGTGGGGGATTCGAGGCCTCCCCTTAGCTTCAGCTGCGAGAAGGCGCAACGCTCGAACTCAGCCGCTCTTTCGACGCTTCAGGAGCTTCAGGAGCCGATCCCTGGGATGCCCGAGCGTCTGCCGCCCACGGGAGGCCACCACCTGGAATCGATCCGATCTCGAAGAGCCTCCAAATCTGCAGTCTGTGGCCTGTGGTGCCTGAGACTGTGTCTGAAAACTAGACCTGTGACGAAGTCTTTCTTCCTCTACTAACGTTAGAAAGCCTTTTTGGAGTTCTGCATCAAATGCATTGGTTGCAGGGCTTCCACAACCCACACACCCTGACGGCTGCCGCTTTAGACGACCCGTCCTTCCTCCCATCTGGGGCGTCCACCAGGCGACCACCCTCCGCGCCGTGCGGGAGTAGAAAGGCCAGAAACGCTGGCCTCGGACTGGTCTGGGGGTTCCACTCGAACCGGGTGCCTTACGGTGCCGTGGAGGGTGGAGGGGCCACCGGGTCGAGAGATGGAGCGCCCAATGCGGTCGACGGACCTCCGAAACGATGGAAACGAGCACCGAAACGAGGTTCCCATCAGCATCGGACGCGCGAGGCGCAACACAACTTCCCAGGCCCACGTCGATGCGGAACAGAATCTGTTTTGCACGAATCCCAACCAGTCACGATCCCAACCTGGTGACTATTGCATGCAACATATTCATTTGATGAATTGGCTCTTCAACTGAGCTATCAGGACTGCATCTCCACGTGGGGTCTGGCAAGTTGTCTGGGTCAATGCACCGCAGCTTGATGGAATCACCACTCAACGGCCACAGCGGCACTGCGCTGCAGTGGAAGCACCAATTTCCAATCAACAGCTTTACTTTGCCCGTGTCCCAAGCACCGATCGGCTGATCAAAGGAGCTGGCTCTGTAAAACATGAAGGACATGTCAGTGACAGCAAAGGTATTCCACGACCCGATGGGTTGGTTGAACTTCGCAGCATTGTAGAACATGGAATTCATGTCTCGGACATTGCCCGTGTCCCAAGCACCGATCGGCTGATCAAAGGATGCCGTTCATGGTTCTCACATTGCCCGTGTCCCAAGCACCAATGGGCTGATCAAAGGAACTGGCTCCAGAGAACATGTCTTCCATCATGTCAACGACTGCCACTGTGATCCACAAATCAATCGGCTCATTGAAGCTGGAAGCCTTGTAGAACATCTTGCGCATTGTCTGCACACTTGTTGTGTTCCACGTGCCTTAGCTCTCTCAAAAAGGACACTTCAAATTCTTTTTCCTGAAAGAAAATACCAATTGTCTGTAGGACCACTTGGGTGGTCGATGTTCGCAAGTGGTTCGAGGTGTTACCAGTTTAGCCCCGCGCAAAACCGTCACAATCTGGCCCTGACCATCGATGTCAAAAACTGATGAAAACCTGACACTTGAGATAACTATATACATTTAGAATCATTTAGATCTAAACCATCTGGTCATCAAAACTGGATCATCGATGGTCTGACTGACTCTAGATCACTTAGGATCACTTAGATCTAAGAGTAGGGTCTCCGTCCTTCCGGGACAGCTCCAGCAGATCACGTCGAGTTGGGGTCGATGGACCGAGATCGACTCGGAGGTGTCTCGGGGTCGCGAGAGCCAGGGTGAGTGAAAATCAGGGGTGAGCAGGGGTGAACCGAAGAACACCAGCGAAAAGAAGCGCAAGAATCATGAGAACCAATGTGTTTTACATTAAACAGATGCCGTACTACTCAACAATCATGAGAGATGTATGTTAAAACCATGTTAAAACCCTTCGATGATTCATGACACAACTTTCGGCCTTCACGTCCGATGGGCATGTTGAATGCAGTGGCTCCATGGAACATGGAACTCATGTCCAGTACCTTCGAAGTATCCCATGCGCTGATGTTCTCATTAAAGCCTTCCAAGTCCTTGAAGAGGCCACTCCTTAGAGTGAAGATGCAGCTACACCTCTTTCTCTCAGAACTCCGGAAGATGACATGGCTTGTCCAGTGACTCGCCACCAGGTGGACTAGGCCATGACCAAGTTGAGAACAAGTTGGGATGAGATTTCTCCAGGAAGATAGTTCCGGGTTTGACATGATGCCAGCTACCAGGACATGATGCCAGCTTCCCCGATGAGCATCAATTCATCTCACAACTTGTCGTGTAAACCCCTTATTAAAAACAATCACCAAAAAAAACAAAACACCCCCTCCCTCTTGCTGAGGTTCATGTTGGTCACCGATGATACGTTCCATTCACCAGGTGCTCCCCACAACGAGGTCAGCTGCAACTTGGTGGCCTCGTCCGCATTGTGCCACCTCTCAGAGTCAGCGTGTTTGCTCAAGGAGTGGTGGGAAGGGATGAATTCAGGTTCATCACTTGTGGAGGACAAATCCGAAGGAAAATCGCTTCTAGCTCTCCCAATGACTCCCCCGACTCTCACCATGCGTCCCTGAGAGTTGACCAGTGAGGGTACAGTGAGGTGGGACCAACCTCACTGTTTTGACCTCCATGCGGGACCATTCAGAAGATCTGCCGAAAAAGGAGCGAGCGATAGGAAGAGATGAAGGGTGGCAGGGAAAATCATGAAGGGTATATCATCCGGTGGTGGGAAAACAACACCTGCACCACGTACCAGCTGTCATAAGGAACACTTTAAACTATGGAACACCACCGGTCAGTCATCACCACGGTGCGGTTTTGGCGGTTTTGGTGGTTTGGGTATGGCAGGCCACACATCACGGAGAATACCATGGCATTTACAGTGGTTTGCTGGCTTAAGGTTCTAGGTCGCTCTACTTCGTGACTATTTTCTGTGTTTCACACATGACGCTTTCAACCTCGCTGTGTTGATCTTCCAAATGCGCACCGTGCGGGATCATGCAAAGGGTCTCTTTGTGCCACCGAACATCTTCTACGCCGCATCAACCGAATCAACTGCGACGTCATCGTCGACGGATCCGAACGCGTGGCGCGACGCGACGTCGCCCGCGGCACCGGGTCGTCGCGGCAAGAAGCCCAGGCGTTGGAGCAGCGCATCTCGTAGCTCTGCTCGGGTGGAGAAGTGAGATCCATAAACTCCAGAGAGCAACATGCACAGCCAGCAGCGAAGCCAGAGCAGCGCCACCATCGCTGATGATTCCGAAGCCTCTTGTTGGAAGCGCTTTTTGTGCCCACCCGATGGGCTGCCGAATTCGTGAGGACGTCTGAGCCACAAAAGACCCATACAGAATCGTCTTTTCAACATCTATGCGTGAACATCACTCAGAAACCAAGAAACATCTTGCCATGGCATTCTGACTCACGTAAGACATGGAAGTGAACTGTATGACCCCTGCAAGGGCCGATGTGAACCTCGTCGTATTTGACTGCAGCGTCACGAAGTACCCTGCCAAGTTGGCATCAGGCTCTCAGATGACTTCGCTTCCGACTTTTTCCAAGTGGTTAGACTTGTGCTCAATTGCAGCTAGACTTCTGCCAGGCTAAACTTCTCGGCTTTTGCACATGCACATTGGACATGCGAACTAATTAGCTGTCAGACTTCTGCTAGACAGAAAAGACGTCCTCACGGTCAGCTCTGTTGATGAGCCGTTGGAATTTCTCCCGGACCACGACGCAAATCCACTGGATCATGGCGTCCTTCACGTGCTGATTCACTTGGTCGAAGCCTACCTTTGCTCAATGTGAGCGCAACGACCAAACAAACATCAGGAAAAAACATGCATGCAATCAAGGTGTTTTGTCCAATTGTTGCCAAATCATAGTGGCGGTATTGACAAGGTATTTACTGGTACTGACTAAGTCACCCACTGGCAAGTTCGGACAAGATTTCCTGTTGTCCCCAAACCCCTCCAACATGTTCAAGCAAGCCCAAACCATCCCGGATCCAAGCTACCCACCTCTCTATACCCGCTTTTGTTGGTTTTTAGGTCAACCACCCAATTCGATCACGGAACTGTGGACTGGATCGTGGTCTTCACCTTCTGCTCGTCGCGCGGATCGAAGGCACGTGCAGCTGCCACGTCGACGTCGCACAAGGACTGGGTCACCTCCTCGATGCCGGCGTCGCCACGGGAGATCCTGCAAACAGTAGGGCGGCTGCCATGATGCCATGACGATATGGAGGTGCTGGTGAACACACCAACGACGAGATTCACCGACAATAATCGGTGTTGGAGGCTGAGCCCCTGCTGAGGAGGTGTATATTGAACCAAAGTATAGAAAAAGGATGTGCTGAATAGGTGTGACAAGGAACTGCTTCGATAGGGAAGCCTCGCATGCTTCAAACTTGCGAACTCTGAAATAAGGCAAACTGCTTTGAAGGAGGCTACGGCTACAACTGACTTTATTTGGATCTGCATTCGGGGAGCTTTAGACTCTAGACCCGAGCCTTGCTCAAGTTGTTTTTCCTTTTTTCTGCCAAGAAGCTGCTGCATCCTCCGGCATGACGAAGGTCACCGGAACCTGCAAGGAACAAGCGACGTACTGCTCATAGATGGTCCAGACCCTTTGCAAGTAGACTGGCTCCTCCCAGGTGTCCAACACTGCAACGACCTGCCCAATCCGTCGCAGATTCGTCTGGAAGACTTCTTCCAGATTGTCACTGCCGGTGGCGGAGCCTTCGACGATGATGCGGAACTGGTTGTTCACGCAAAAACACATGTAGAAGAAGATGTCCTGCGTGCTTCTCAAGCACCCCCTCTACACCTCTACGAAGGGTCTTCTCTGTAGAAATTTCACAAACACGAGGTAGTCAACATAGCCGTTCCTCCCAATAAACCCCAGCAAATCAAGGGCAGTTAAATTCAATTTAAGACACAATGACGCCCACAACTGATTGGCAGGAAATCGCAAAACGTCTGTGACGTAGTGTGATACTCTTCCTATCTCTTCCTCTCACAACTTCCTTCCATCCCTTTCCACTCCAAACTCAACTTGATTCAGCTGAGAGGTCCTCAAACTCCAGTGTTCGGGTTGATCTCCACATCTCCATGGCACTTTGGAGTTGTTGAAGTGAATACTTCCAACTCCAAGACCTCAAACATCACATTCCATGATCTAAATCTTACAAATCACCTCTCTACCAAACGTATTCCTCCCAATGTATGGCAGGCGCAGAACCTGCTGTCGTGATCGAACATGTCGAAAACCTATGGAAGAGACACCTAACTACATCCGGTCCCAAACACAACTTCAGTGATCTTCAGCGGCAATCATAACACATTCAAACAGAATATCCCTTGAACTCCAAGAAAGAATAGAGACAATGAAATATCTGTTGCTGATCAAATTGCATAAAATGAGTTTGCAGTCGTCGATGCTCTCGTGGAAGCCAATCCACCAGTGCGCAGCCTGGTCTGCCATCTCGAGGGCAACGAATGTTGGACCCGAGCTTCTCATCACCCTGCCAGAAGACCTCAACAAGAACGCACCTCTTGGCAATATGCTTAAAGGTAGGCAGAAAAGCACAACTTTCAGCCTAAAGCAAGATGAGCAAAGTTCATGCGATCAGGGAGATCCAGGTGGCCTCCTTCAAACGAAGAAAGGTTGGATTCTCTTCGCCAGACCAGTCATAGGCCAACCGTGCAAAATCGCCCATCAAATATGCAAGGCTCACACCCGCGTGGCTGCTGTGACGAGCCCGGATCCTTGATTGATGGAGCGATTGGACGTCAGGTTCCGTACATGTCACAAGAGTCCTTACCTTATGCATCCTGTGCTTCAGGATTTGTTCCAAGCCAAGGATTTGTCAACTTAACGTTGACGTCACAATAAGCACCATCAAGCCTCAGTGCACCCCGCCACATCCCCCACATTCGCGCACAAGTACCTGCTGTCCAAGCGACTCCTGTGCTCGCTCACTGACTTGGCCGCAGCTCCAGCCAAAGCTGCTGAGGGCCATCATGAACCTCCACACGACGCCGACCCCGACGACTCGGTCGATCAAGGTGGACGATGGACTGACGCGAGGGTCATCGCACAGAGCGTGAGCATCTCGATTCCTGGTGTTCTTGTGAAATATTTAGATCATCTACAGTTTGTAAATCATACTGTATACTTTAGGTGTGAGGGAGGGCATGTGCCACACGCTTGTGGAGGCAACATATCTTCAAAGCACTTCAAGGCTATAGGCTATAGGCTATCAAGAAAAGCGTGCGTGGCGTATGCCACTCACTCAATCCTTCCAATGACTGGCAGATGGCTGATTGCCACTCAGGACTCCAGCCTGTTCAGGGTCTCGGGCTTCTCATCCCAGAGCTCGTCCTCAAACTCTTGAAGGATCTGACTCACCTCATAGTGTCATGGCCCGGTGCATGCGCTTCGCAACGAAGTCATCCATGCGCAGTTGGCGGATTTTCTACGGGTCATTCTTGAATATACTTGACGTACACAGAGATAGATGGACAAAGAAAAGGATGAAACGACTCAAACAGGACGAAACTCGTTTATACAGATGACATGCAAAGGTGAAGGTTTCGTTTGTTCAACATGTGCTGGATCGTTCAGCTGGACCTCCTCTTGGCGGGTGTCTGCTCGCTTCCGTCGATGCCTCTTGGCCATGTGCTGCAGGAGGAAGATGATGCCGGAGGAGAGGGCCAGCAAGAAGATGATCAACACCAGGTGCCACCAAACACCTTGGTCAATGCGTTTGAGACCGCCAAACGTCAAAGCCTCCGGTTTCTTCAATCGAGAAAAACTACAAGAATCAGAACGTAACAGGAGACTGAACAAATGTGGACAAAAGAGAACGTTGGCACAAGATTCTTCATCTTGAAGGACCCACACGAAATGCTCGTCTGACTGTTTGTCTATGCTTCTTGCCTCAAGCGTCCAACAAAGTTGAGATAAACTGTTCAATCGAGGCGCAGGTGTTGTCCAGCAAGAGAAGGGGAAATGAACAGGACCGGCACATGTCACCATCGGAATACTGGTCAGGAGCGCAGGCCCTGCAGTCAGTGCGGCCTTAGTGAAGAACATCTTGCACCTTCCAAAGACAGTCCTTGAACCCTTCAAACCAGGACAAATAAGTTCTGCCTTGACTCAGAAAAAACAGGTCTAAGTTGTGTAACTATGTGTGTCACTGTGTGTAACCAAAAGTTTCGGAGAGTTGGGCACATCTGAAAGTGGATCATGACAACTGCTTCACTGATCTTTGGATTCCAACAGTAGAGTCTTAGAGAGCACGTGATGGAACTGAAAGAAGTGTTGCGAGACCGTGTCCTGCTTTATGTTGACCCGAGTCACCTGAGCACAGCCAATTGAGGTGGATTATGTGTTGAACTCCTCTGAAAAACAAACACCGCCTGAACGTCTCCAAAACACCACAAATACCACAGTATTGTCCCTTCTCAACCCATGTACCTTCTTTCAACGGGTGGATGTCTTCCATCCACGATGGTACTTGGATGTAGTTTGGTGATCTATCCAGATCACTCAACCAACCACTCATCTGTCCTCAACTTGGACGGCGTCGTCTCGTCCTTCTGTTCAACTCACCCAGTGGCTCGGAAGCACAGGAACCTCTCCAGGAGGGCAATCTTCACATCGCACAGCACCAGCTTGGGCAAAGCCTGTCCGATGAAAAACCGATGACCGGACGCTCGTCACTACAAGAGGTCAACACCCCGAGCACCTGTCGGGGACAACGGCCAGGGACAACGGCCAGGTGGCCCCACCGTCGTAGTCGTATGTCATGGAAACCCGATCTCTTTCGGAACCGGAGTGGGCCTCTTGATAGCCTCCACCTAGATGCATCTGAGCATCCACTGTAGACGACCAGGTGGGACCAACCAAATCTTGACTTATCCCCATGACTCGTCACATGCTTTTCACATGTTTGAAAGGCAACATGGGTGCCAGGAAAGCTGCTCAAGAAAGAGTACAAATTCCAAACATATAACTTTTCCATAGAACGATTCCCCAAAACGGAATCCGCTCCACCCTCCCTGAAACACGAAACCCCGCTGAATTGTCCTCTTCGCCCCAACGGGTTTCGCCTGAGGCGCATGCTTCACAACGATCATCCTTGGGAGCTTGTCCAGCTGCACAGCTCTGGCATTCCAAGTCCTCAGATCAACAAAGGTCTTCCGAAAAATTGCCGTCTTTATCCGTTTTTTTCGCCTATATACCCAAACGCTCTTGGACCCTCATATGCCCTATATATGGAGAGGTCCGGACCCTCAAATCCCTAGGTTTTGAGGGATCAAGGGCTGCTTGGAGCGTCTGGGTACTTGGCTTCTGACAAGTTCTTCGATGTTCTTCGAAGACCCCCCTACCCATCCTACCCCGCCTTGGTGTTTCCGTGTGGCGCTTTGGCATTTTGGTGGAAAACCACACGCACCGCTCGCTGTCGACCCTTTGGAAAGAAGAAAGAACATGTCTTCAACTTCCTGACGGTCCTGACGTATCAATTCCGACATGCCACTCACAGGGATTGAGCTTGTGCAAAGATCTCAGAAAACTGGCGGATCTCTTGATGATCACGGAACCCGTGGAATCTTGCTAAACCGAACAAAGTCAAACAAACATATTTACAGTATATACAAAGAACAGGGAGCAGAAGCACCACAGTCTTGCACATCTTGACAGCTCCGAGCGACAGGTTCCTTGCTCCGAATGGGAACCTCTTTGCGAGCAGCGCACCTGCAACAGGAGGCCGCCGTCACCGTCGCCGTCGCGGCTGAAGCGTTGAGACTCGTCGTCGCCCGCGTCGTTCCCTCCAGGCACGAGAAGGTGCGGCACGAGGCCCTGCGAAACGCCAAGTAGCTCCGACCTGATCCTCCAGATGTGGGGAGGGGTGGGGGCGGTGGGGGCGAAATGGTAACATATGAACAGGCCGCGCCGGTGCAGAAACCTGATATAAAGGCAACCTGATATATGTGAGCTGTGTCACAAGGAATCTGAGCCGTATACTTACACCAAGCTAGCTTTTGTGATGTGACAAGACCCTTTAGCGGGAACTTGACCCACTCGACCATGTCACCATGTCCTCCAATCAAGCTGAGCTCACTCTGGTCGTTCATGTCGTCCATCAGCCAGCAGCGCCCAGAGTCTTCCAGAAGGAAAGCACCACACTCCAAGTCTTTGCATCTCTCGACACATGCTCGAAAGCCCACAGCAGTTGTCAGACTTGCATTTCGATCGTCCCAAGCACCTCTCCCAAGCTCGATGAAGCCGGAGTTCACTGGTCGACAGGCTTCATCCACACATGCCAAGTTCGTGTTTTGACAAGGGCAGCTGGGACAGAGTTGATATTGCCAAGTGTGTCGAATGCTGGGAGGCAAACCCGAAGCTTCGGAACTGAGACGCAACACGCAAGTTGACATGCCTGAACCCGTGAAAGCTTCGGCCATAGCTTGGGCATCAGGGATTGATGTCAGGTTCCATGTCGAGACAGACTGATCGAAATGTTGGGCCCCTGCAAACATACGATACATATCTGTCGCTGCCGATGTGTCCCACAATCCGACTGGCTGGTTGAAGGAGCTGGCACGGAAAAACATCCCAGAGAAATTGGTGACAGCCTTGGTCTCCCAATGATTCAGCGGCCGGTCGAAGGCAACAGTCCTTTCAAACATGTAGCTCATGTCATTTACCTGCGAAGTGTCCCATCCACCAATGGGCTGGTTGAAAGAGTCTGCTGCTATGAACATCGAGGACATGTCAGTGACAGCAGAGGTGTTCCACGACCCGATGGGCTGGTTGAACTTCGCAGCATAGGCGAACATGGCCTTCATGTCTCGGACTTTGCCAGTCTCCCAAGCACCGATGGGCTGATCAAAGGAGCTGGCTCCGGAAAACAGGAAGGACATGTCCCCGACTGCAGACGTATTCCACGACCCGATGGGTTGGTTGAACTTCGCAGCGTTGTAGAACATGTCCTTCATGGTTCGGACATTGCCCGTGTCCCAAGCACCGATGGGCTGATCAAAGGAGCTGGCACCGTAAAACATCTGTTCCATGTTCTCCACTGCCGAGGTCTTCCAGGACCCCATCGATTGATTGAAGGTCACCGCAATCGAAAACATATTCCGCATGTTTTCCACATTGCTTGTGTCCCAAGCACCGATGGGCTGATCAAAGGAGCTGGCTCCGTAAAACATACCCTTCATGTCCACGACTTCCGAGGTGTTCCATGACCCGATGGGTTGGTTGAACTTCGCAGCATTGTAGAACATGCCGTTCATGGTTCTCACATTGCCCGTGTCCCAAGCACCGATGGGCTGATCAAAAGAGCTGGCTCCGTAAAACAGGAATGACATGTCTCGGACTTTGCCAGTGTTCCAAGACCCGATGGGTTGGTCGAAAGACGCAGCTCCCCTGAACATATAGGGCATGTCCGTAACTTTTGAGGTGTTCCACGACCCGATGGGTTGGTTGAACTTCGCAGCATTGTA